TATATAATACACATATATATAAATATAGATATACACATCTATTCATATATGTTGATGGATGCTACTTATAAACTAGCTTAGCAAACAATCTGGAGCATCACTGGCACCATAGGATGGCAAGCCATCCAGCTGCCCGGCTCGACCCAACTGTATCCGTGGCTTTGACAAGCAGAACGCCGCACGCTTCATGGCCAGGAGTTCTTCGGCCAGTTGATAAACCATATATAAACCATATATAAACCATCATCTTCACCCTCACTGGCTGCGCTTGGGCTGTGTGAGGTCAAGTCAAAGTCCCTAATGTGGTTAAAGCAATGCCATAAACCATCCAAAAAAAACACCATAAATGGGTGGTATAAACCATAACAAATTGGTGGCTTATGACATTGTTTTAACCACATTGATTATTTTCAGGATCTGAAACCATCTATTATTTTTTTGGATAATCCAAAGCCATGCCCATATTTGCTGATTTTGTTCATCTCTATTTCGAACACGCTTCAGTTATTGGTTCAATCTTTGTCCGTTTTATTCTGTTCCTTGCTTCTACTTCTGTTCCTGATACTTCCAACTTTCGGTGTTCAGAGCCCTTGTTTGCTGAACATTTCTCCAATTCTCCGTTTTCAAGCTCAATCTCAATGCGTCGATGAAACATTTGAACATGATTAAACCATTCAACCCTTGTGAAACTGATTTTTAATCACACTTTTGTTGGTTTAAATGATTTTAAATGAGTTTGTCTGAAGATAGGTACCCGAAATCCACTAGCGAATCATCATTTTCAAACAAAAAACAGTTTGGGGGTTATGCCGGTGATTCACCATTTGTAGACACACCCGAAATCATATCAAGTTGGTTATATGTCACATTGTCCCATTATATTTCCAGTTTCTTAGCATATGATTGTCAGTTTACCTCCATACTTGTTGGTTAAATGCCCGAAAATCTCTCATATCCCATTACATCCTCATTAAGGTATATAAATCCTTGCTGAGCCTGTCTGATTCCCACGAAATCACCAAAAATCTGAGGCCCTCCAGTGATGTGAACGTTGGTTTAGTTTAGCTCCATGAATGCAATTCCGTTACATCCCGCATAGCGAAAACCAACACTTAGTCAATTTACAAGTCAACTTAGCTATCATAATTATCATAAATCAGCTGGAAATCCTATTAAATTCCCATTTTTCTTGGTTAAATTTGCGTATGATACAGTTAAATCGTAAGGCCGGGCACCTCACCTTGTACAAGTGAGCAGTGTTCAAAATCCCTCTGTCATTCCATTTAATCCTGGTTGGTTAAGAACGGGATTCCCTGTTCTTGGATTGGTTTAACCCCCAATATATTGGGTAATGTCAACCCCGGATTAATAAACCCTGGTTGATTAATTTTGATGGTTCCCCATGGTTCCCTTAAATAGTGATAAATGGCTACTGAAATGGTACCCCCGCGATTATACTGAAATGGTACCTCCACCCCCCCGATTAGACAGCCTAGGGGTTCATTAATCCGGGGTTGACATTAGTATAATCCCACAACTAATCATCCACCAACCATCATTTATCAATTATACCTACTCATCACCCTATAGTTCGATCATTAAAACCCCTATCAAATGACTATAACCAACCAACAAGTGACAGTATATAATTGAGTTGGTTGTTAAAGGGATTACACTACCAAATATATTCTAGTTGGTGGTATACCTACCCCTCTGAAAATATGAGTTCGTCAGTTGGGATGATTATTCCCAACATATGGAAAGTCATAAAATTCCATGGTTCCAAACCACCAACCAGCATTTAGCTAACCATCATTAACCATCATTAACCACCATTAAACATCATTAATGTCAACCCTGGATTAATAAATCCTTGGGCTGTTGAATTGGAAGGGTACCATTTAAGTATTAGATTATGACTGTTGGAGGAGTACCCCCCTAAATGGGTTTATTAATCCGGGGTTGACATTACCCAATATATTGGGGGTTAAACCAATCCAAGAACGGGATTCCTCCCGTTCTTAACCAACCAGGATTACATGGAATGACAGAGGGATCAAGGAATTGACCTAGTTACCCATTTAGTTCGATGACTTCCCTATTGAAATGGCCAATGAATATTGGCTTTTGACCACTGCCGCCGCGCCTTGGCAGATCTCTGTTGCAGAGGCCCACTGCACAGCACGATGCGACCGCACACAGACGATTCAACCTGGATCCAGAAATCCATCAGGGACCCTGTCAAACGCATTGCCAATCTTAGATACCCAGGAAAAAAATACATTCTTTGCTGGTGAACGTAGATATTCCCATTGATACCAAAAGACTAAAGGATTAGTTTGTATCAATCTAAGATTGACCTAGTCATGTGAGGCCCTCCAGTTATAAGTTGGTTTACAAGACCCAGTAACTATAGTTATAAATGCCATAAACCATAGTTATTGGACTTATAAACCAACTTAGCTATCGAACGGGGGCCTCACATTGTAGTAATGTGGGAAATTGCTGGAACATCCCCTAGAAAATATGGGGTGGAATCCAAAGGATGATGGGTATGATTTTCCCAGCTATGAACCGTTCTTTCTAGTGGATTCCCCGCTATATTTGATTAGCTGATGGTGTATTTATTTATGTACATATACATATATATATATATATATAGGTACATATATATATATATGTGTGTATATGTAGATGGAATCCTGGAATATATGGTTATACTGTATACTACTTATCCCGGTCTGAATAATCCTCCACTAGAATGGCATATGAAAGTTAAACTCGTAGTCCTCGACTCACACAGACTTTTAGACAGGATGAATGATATGAATGATATGGATGATATGAATGATATGAATGACATGAATGATATGAATGATATGGATGATATGAATGTTGTATAATTAGTTGCTTAGTCATCTTAATTCTATATCTGTATATAACTGTATATATATATATACATATATCTGTATGATTCTGTATGTTGTAGATTTATAGGCTTGGGATGTAACGATGTAACATGATGTAACTAGCAGGAGATCTTGGCGACGTAGCTTTCACCTTGATAGCAACTGGACAGATGACATACAAGTGAGCGGATCAAATACCACTGTCTGTCATTATAGTTGGTTGATAAATTTCCCTACGGGTTCAACAAAAAATCCCCAATGACCCAGGTAGTATAACTCCCTATCAACCAATCAACCAAGGTAATTTTAACGGCTCAACTGGCTATATATCTGCAACTGGCCCACCCGCGCTGATGGGAGCCTCCATTCCCACCCTACAGTACTCCCATAAAAATCCCGGATGGGAAGCTTATGGAGGTTTCCCAAAAATGGGGGTACCCGAAAATGGATGGTTCAGAAGGGAAAATCCAGGATGAGAACTGGGGCGACCCCTAGGAAACCACCGAAAAATGGGGGGGGGGTCCATCATTGGGAGTCCCTACGAATTCCGTGAAAAGAGGTTATCTGGTTGGTGGTATACATACCTACCCCTCTGAAAAATGATGGAGTTCGTCAGTTGTGATGATTATTCCCAATATACGGGAAAATAAAAAATGTTCCAAACCACCAACTAGTTATGATTGAAGTGCCACAATCAACAAACATGTGGGGTTCTTCACGTCGCACATGGTTGGCAACCCTTGCCCAGCATATCCCATGGGGCTATCATGTCAATGGAGTTTCAACAACAGAAACCAGTGAGGCAACCAAGAAAATAAAGTTAAGAAGTTCGTTGCTCTGTGAGACTGTGTGCAAGGTGCGGGTCCCGTAAGGAGCAGCATCCTTGTGTTGTTCCCTTGGAAAAGTCAAGAAACAATAAGGAGTTCAATTGGTATCAATTGATAAGATGTTGTCTGTGAGCCACATTTTCCTTGCAATGGAACATGTGGAACCTTTTTGGAACACGATCCACACAAAATGGGTTTCTCATATGTGAACTTCTAGAGGGTCAGCTTTAGCACATTTTAGCACCACAAAAGGGGAATGGGGCCAACCTCCCCTTGCAGTACATGACTGGATCATCCCAAATGGAGCATCATCTTTGATCTTTTTTTTAACTACAGAACTCCAAAAAGCATACATCAAACAAGCAACATATCACAATAACAAGCACATCTCTTAGCCCTTGGCAACTCCGAATTGCGCGAACTCGGATGGGATTGAGACCTTCTGAGCCCGTCATTCCCACGCTGATTCCGTGGCAAGGACAATCGAGTGATCGTGTCGCGTACAGACCTGACAGGTCACCTACCGTCAAGTCCGCCACAGGTGAGCAGTACCCTCTGGTAAACATACAAAAAGCTATTGAAAATGGCCATAGAAATAGTGAATTTTCAAATGGTGATCCTCTCCATAGTTATGTTAGTTTACCAGAGGGTGTCCCAACGGCCCAAGCTCGGACCAGGGAGCAATGGATGACGTTTTCATCGTCTGCTGGGCGGCTGTCAAAGACAATGGGCAAAGCTTATGATTAACCAGTGGATGTTGTGGGTTACCCTATAAAACATTAGAGAAATGCATCTGGGAAAAATAGAGTGTACTACAAACAGTGGAGCACATTCTGGAGCACTTACCCTGCAAAACGAACAAAAAAACACCTCTGGGGCTTGGCTATGCTTAGTGGCCATGGCTATGCTTAGATTTCCGGCTTACCCAGCCGTATAGATCGCATCTCTGTTGGACATGGTGGCTAACCGCTCCATCCGAATTCTTGCTGAATACCGCCTTTCGGATAGTTTGTGCAAGGTGATGCCCCCCAAAGTCTAATTCGAACAAGTGGATTTCAACCACCCCATGAACTTTAGATGTATCTGGTTGGTGGTATACCTACCCATCTGAAAAATATTAGTCAGTTGGGACCATTATTCCCAATATATGGAAAATAAAATTCATGTTCCAAACCACCAACGAGATGTATCTATTGAACTACACCAACTTTTTCGTGCTTTAGCTCACTCAAATTGCCACGAGGCACCTGAACTTGGCTGAACTGCAGCGCCACGTCTGCAATCCTGGATGCATGGGGCGTCGTCCCTTGAAAAACTCATTGGTTAAGAACGGATTTCTTATTATCATTTGTGGTGATTTTGTCCCTTTTATGGGTAAGTTTTTGTAATCCGATTAGATTCAAAATCCCAACTAAATGCACATGTTGAAACTCTTGGCAACATTCATGGTCAAATCCACATAAAGAACACATTCTGGTTGGTGGATTTTACCATCTTGAAACATATGAAAGTCAATGGGAAGGATGACATCCCATATATTATGGAAAATAAAACATGTTTGAAACCACCAACCAGTCTATCATGGGTTTACACTGGTTGATAGTGTTTATTAATGGCTATAACTGTTTATTAATGGCTATAACCTACGTTAATCCACATTAAGAACACATTAAATGAATGGGTGAAGCCATGTCACAGACTTTCTCGCGACACCCTCAAGGGTCCATGGGATCAGCCCATTGATCAACAGCTCCAGGACCTCCACTTGGAGGCTCATCCTACCTAGTCATGAGTTTGTAACCATAGTTATTTTAGCAATTTGTAAGCAGTGTATATATATATAGTATATATATAGTATATATATATAATAGAAATATATATATAGAAAGATTTTGCTTTGCATTCAAGGGTCCAAAAAGACCCAAGGGTCCAAACTGGGTCCAGCTGATGAATCTCGCGCAAGCCTCGCTCATGTCCTTTTTCTCGCTCACACCCAAAATCATCCAAGTAAGGATTTGTCAGGACAAACAAATCAGTGACAAAAGGTCTGCTCAATTATGGGGCATGTTACAATTTGAATTCTCTTTTTTGATCTGTCCTGATCACATTTGCCTGCTTAAATGTATGCAAAATGCAAAATTCGTGGCATCGTCATGTTGCTACTCGAGCTTGGATGCTTTCTGCATCACTGGCCGGGCTCAGCTTCAGCTCGGACACGCTCGGATGTTTTTGCTCCGTGCCCTGGACCTGGACCTGGACGGCCTGTCACGGAGAAACCGCCCGGCTTGCGACAACGGGGAGGGCACGGAGCTGGGGAGCCATGGCTGGCCAGGGGTAACACAACGGGAGAAGAAGAACGGGAAAGTGATGCAAAATGAGAAATGTCACTTTTATAGTTTGTAAACTAGAAAAGTTGCTTTTGTAACATATTGAAATTGTAAAATTATGCATATTTGCTGAATACTTTGATATTTTTTGAAAAATAATTTCTATCCATATTTTTTGTCCACAACCAATCTTAAAACATTCACTGGTTCATTTTCAAGGTATTGGAATGAAATTTAAAAGTTTTTTTTTCAAAATATTTTTTGTCAAAATATGTTCAAAAAACTAATTTCTATCCTTAAATTATGTCCAAAATCAGGTTTGAAACATTCAGTGGATCATGCTTAAGTTATTGGAATGAAATTTAAAATATGTTTTTTTCGATTTTTTTTGGTCGAAATTTGGTTCAAAAATGACATTTCTATCAAAAATATGTGGTGTCTAACCTTAAACCCTACATCCGTTAATAATCATAATGCACAATATGCACATAAGCACGCTATTTCCACACAACGGGGTGTTACAACGGGGGAGACACAACGGGAGAAGAACAACGGGGAAAATGATGCAAACTGCGAAATGTCCTTTTGCGAAAAACCGCCATGCCCAAAAATATGTTTTGCGAAAATCTGGTTTCCCCAAGGATGTGTTTGCGAAATCCTGGATATCCAGGACCGTGGTTTGCGAAAGATCAGGGTCAGATCTTTCTCAAAAGATGTTTTTACCCATTTTTTGCAAAAAACCGCCATGCCCAAAAATATGTTTTGCGAAAATCTGGTTTCCCCAAGGATGTGTTTGCGAAAATCCTGGATATCCAGGACCGTGGTTTGCGAAAGATCAGGGTCAGATCTTTCTCAAAAGATTTGCAATTGTTAAATTATTTGTTGCTACATGTGCGCATATATTGATAAATGAGGAAAACAACATTTTTTTTGCGAAATGTGGGATTTGAATTTCACTCTCTGAATAGTTTTTTTTCATGAACAGTTTGCGAAAAAACAACATGTCCAGGATTCTTTTTTGCAAAAATCCTGCTTCCCCAAGAATGTGTTTGCGAAAATCTTGGGGAATCAGGACCTTGGTATGCGAAAGATCTGGGTCAGGTCTTTCTCAAAAGATGTTCCATGTTTGTATGTCATATTAAAATATATACATAATGTATGTATATGTGATGTCGCTATATTATATATGATGACAGGAAATCACCTTCTTTTTGCGAAAAACTTGTTTTCTCAAAAATGCTGGCCACAAGTCGCTCAGATTGATCGCAAAATGGCAGCTGGATAACATCTATGTTGAACCCCTTGTTTGCGAAGAACCAGGGCCTGGTTCTTCTCAAACAACTGCTTGTTCCCTAGCACTGCTTTGCGCAAGCCTCTGGTTTGCTTAAAACACCCCAGGTATCAGCAGCCTGTTTGAGAAGAACCGGGCCCTGGTTCTTCGCAAACAAGGGGTTCAACATAGATGTTATCCAGCTGCCATTTTGCGATTAATCTGACTGACTTGTGGCCGGCATGCTTGAGAAAACCTACTTTTCGCAAAAAAAATGTTGTTTTCCTCAATTATCAATATATGCGCACATGTAGCAACAAATAATTTAACAATTGCAAATCTTTTGAGAAAGATCTGACCCTGATCTTTCGCAAACCACGGTCCTGGATATCCAGGATTTTCGCAAACACATCCTCGGGGAAACCAGATTTTCGCAAAACATATTTTTGGGCATGGCGGTTTTTCGCAAAACATGGGTAAAAAAATCTTTTGAGAAAAATCTGACCCTGATCTTTCGCAAACCACGGTCCTGGATATCCAGGATTTTCGCAAACACATCCTTGGGGAAACCAGATTTTCGCAAAACATATTTTTGGGCATGGCGTTTTTTCGCAAAACATGGGTAAAAACATCTTTTGAGAAAGATCTGACCCTGATCTTTCGCAAACCACGGTCCTGGATATCCAGGATTTTCGCAAACACATCCTTGGGGAAACCAGATTTTCGCAAAACATATTTTTGGGCATGGCGGTTTTTCGCAAAACATGGGTAAAAAAATCTTTTGAGAAAGATCTGACCCTGATCTTTCGCAAACCACGGTCCTGGATATCCAGGATTTTCGCAAACACATCCTTGGGGAAACCAGATTTTCGCAAAACATATTTTTGGGCATGGCGGTTTTTTGCAAAAGGACATTTCGCAGTTTGCATCATTTTTCCCGTTGTTCTTCTCCCGTTGTGTCTCCCCCGTTGTAACACCCCGTTGTGTGGAAATAGCGTGCTTATGTGCATATTGTGCATTATGATTATTAACGGATGTAGGGTTTAAGGTTAGACACCACATATTTTTGATAGAAATGTCATTTTTGAACCAAATTTCGACCAAAAAAAAATCGAAAAAAACATATTTTAAATTTCATTCCAATAACTTGAGCATGATCCACTGAATGTTTTAAGATTGGTTGTGGACAAAAAATATGGATAGAAATTACTTATTAAAAAAAATCAAAGTATTCAGCAAATATGCATAATTTTACAATTTCAATATGTTACAAAAGCAACTTTTTCTAGTTTACAAACTATAAAAGTGACATTTCTCATTTTGCATCACTTTCCCCTTCTTCTTCTCCCGTTGTGTTACCCCTGGCCAGCCATGGCTCCCCAGCTCCGTGCCCTCCCCGTTGTCGCAAGCCGGGCGGTTTCTCCGTGACAGGCCGTCCAGGTCCAGGTCCAGGGCACGAAGCAAAAACACCCGAGCGTGTCCGAGCTGAAGCTGAGCAGCCCGGCCAGTGATGCAGAAAGCATCCAAGCTCGAGTAGCAACATGACGATGCCACGAATTTTGCATTTTGCATACATTTAAGTAGGCAAATGTGATCAGGACAGATCAAAAAAGAGAATTCAAATTGTAACATGCCCCATAATTGAGCAGACCTTTTGTCACTGATTTGTTTGTCCTGACAAATCCTTACTTGGATGATTTTGGGTGTGAGCGAGAAAAAGGACATGAGCGAGGCTTGCGCGAGATTCATCAGCTGGACCCAGTTTGGACCCTTGGGTCTTTTTGGACCCTTGAATGCAAAGCAAAATCTTTTCTTAAGATGTCTTAAGCAGCCACTGTGTCATTCATGGCTGCCACCCCCCATTTCTCAGCAAACATCTGAGGCTACGGCTTGCAAGGCCTGGCAATGGCGACAGCCCAATAGCAGATTATACCGCAAACATCAGCAAAACACTCTTCAGGATTGCATAATTCCTCTGCACTAAATCCTTTGACACTACGGGTAGGATGCAATGCCAGCGGGAAGTAAGACTATAGTTATAATTGGATCGCATCCAGCCTCCCATTTTTCACCTTCCCGTGCCATTCCGCCTAGGACGATCAACTCTCAAGAAAGTCTCTTCAAGTTTTCCAGAGGCACCAAGAGCTCTAGAGTACAAACTTGATTTTTTCTGGAAGGTGCCTGTTTAATGAGATAGCCATCTGATCAATCTCAGCTCTTGACGTCCAGAGCGCAGCAAGAGAGCGGCCCCAACGCCACCTGAGAGAAGCAGATGGTCGAACTCAGCCGCCAACCGATCAGTCCATCCATGTGTGTTTGTATCTCGATTCAGCCGGACTTTTGTCACACCTTTGCTACATCAAGCTAGAACCAGCCGTTCGCTTGTGCGGCGTTGACTGTTGACCAAAACTGCTGCGTCTTGCCTTTAAAATATTGGCCTAGACAAGCAGCGAGCATGCGTTGCACTCCTAAAAAGTTGGATGATCTGGATGGCACTCAACTGATCAGCTGTTCCTCTGATTTTGATGCCAGAAAAAGTTGCCAAAGATTTCAGAGGTATACAACTATTTCTAGCTATCAAGGCTGGAGAACTTCTCGGGAAGCACCACGGATCAGCAGAGCAGGGATATGGTTCTTCGGGCAAACTACGAAACTTCAGCGTCAAATGCACTGGCCAAATGTACATCGGGGTCATCAGGATCCAGCGTGAAGCCAGAAGTCACTGCCAATCGGATCAGCAAATAGATAGGCCTTGGCTTCGCTCGCAGGCTACGCAATTCAATGTTCGACACCGTTTACCGACCGAAATGCCATAGTAGGAAAGATGAGACAACAAAACTAATTAGATACTACAAGTCGGTGGCAGTTATTGGCAGTTCCAGCAACAAAATAACCAATAGTTTGGCAGCCATGATCTAGCCATCAACAGGATCCCAGCTGTTTCTGTGGGAAAATGGTCCAAGAGGTTGGGTAATTGAGGTGTTTCTGCGCACTTTTCGGCTTTTCCAGGCATCCCTGCAAACGAATGCGCCAGAGGAGTCTTTCCACCCGGCCAATTCCCTGCGCAAGGCCAGATGTAAATGACAAGACCAGATGCACACAGTGCTCTGAAACTCACCCAGACATGTAGGAGCTGTTGACTCCATGTTGTCCGGCGGAAAACTCAGTCGATAAATGTTATGAGTTCTCCACACCTGGGGCAACGGAACGCTGAAGTGGTTCACAAACCTCCATGCCTTGAAGCCAAAGAAAGCGATGGCTGCAGTCTCCCGCATGTTGAAACCTTCCTCACGAGGCGATTTCTCTCAGTATTGCCAGATCGTGGTTTACGCTGAAAAGAGGCATCAGAGAACCAGAACTCTGTGGTTTGGCAGTCGACATGCCCATGAATTCCCAAGGTCCCAAGGTCCTGGAGCAGCGAGGCCCTGGGACCGTCGAGGCACATCAAAGGGTACACGCCAATCATAAGGGCCACCTTGAACCATTGAGGCCATTGAGGCCATTGAGGCCATTGAGGCCATTGAGGCCATTGAGGCCATTGAGGCCATTGAGGTTGAAACAGGTTGAAACAGGTTGAAACAGGTTGAAACAGGTTGAACCACAAGAGAAATCACTGCTGGAAGGAGAAGTGTGGTTTGGATTGTTATGGGCTCACTGTACCAGGCTTTCTGCAGCTTTCAAATCCCAGCCACATAGGCACGTACTCGGTGTGGCTCCAGCACAACGTCCGCCACAGACTGCCGCATTTCTATGCCCGGGAAGATGTTGCTTGACCAGAAGACATGTACGCAAGTAGGTGCACAGAAATAGATACATACACAACACATACACATATGGACAGTTGTGCAAATATACACATGAAACCTGCAAATGCACAAGTACAGGCTACATCTATATACCTTGTATACATGCACACACAACTGCAGCCACATACTAATGACTTGTGCACACATCCACCAATGCAAACCTGGCGCTGGCTGGCCATATGCATGTGGCCACGTGCATATGTGCATTTGTGCACATATATGAAAGTCACTTCATTCAGATTAATCATCTTCACTGGGCTAACATAACATTCAATCCCATGTTGCTTTGGGGATATTTGGGGGGCCTCCTGTCTCCTGCCATGTCATTTTCGACAGACGTTTCATGCTAGGTCGAGCCTGCAAAACACCAAACCAGAAGCGATTCGCTTCCCAGGTAGTTGGCAAGTGAGAATTGAAGGCCTAACAGCCATGAGTTCACTGAGTCTCTCGGTAAAGGTAAGCATTAAATATATCTAAATATGACATCCCAGGTCACCAAAATGTGTATCCAGAACTCAACTTGGCC